GAGACGAGACGAAACGACGACGACGACGACGACGACGACGACGACGACGACGACGACGAGGTGAGGTGAGAACGACGGCGGAGAACCGAGGCATGCCGGGGACTCGATTAAATGATTAAACGAGCCCCGAGGCGCCATATTAAACTCGCCGTTATTCTCGCCGTACCTCTCCTCGGGAATCATCTCGCCCTCGAAGACGACAGTCTGCTTCTCCCCTGGCGCAGCTTCCTCTCCTCCATTTTTCTCATCGCTCCTCCCGCCTTTCTTGCGTCCCCTAACAATGTCATTGTCCATTGTCGCGGCACAATCAAGGAAGAACAAAAACAGATTTCGATTATGCCGATTGCGAGGAATTCTGATGAACCGGTTTTCTTTCCTCGGCGGGCAGGCGGGCGGGAAAGGAGTAAGGGCGTGGACGTCTCTCATAAATCTCCGGAAAGCGCTATATCGTACCGTCTGCGCGCGAGAGTGTGTGAGTTCTGAGAGGAATACTCTTGATTCTCGAAATACGTCATTCGAGTGGTTTTAAGCGGAGAAAGTAACGTGAATACGGTGAAAGAGTGCTTCGGCAAAAAGGGTGCGTCGCCGCAAAGTTTCGACGGCAAAACTAAGGATTTACTTTTACAGATCTTTATTCTGAAAGAACGTTTCACCCTAAAGGCATAGAGGCTTGATGGGGAATACCTCCGCAAAGATTTCTCGCAGGGATAATCACGCAAACGGCGCGACCGCGATATAAATGGTATACGACACAACTAGCGGCAAAATGAGTGGGAATGGTGTATTTTCAGTCGGGGCTCGATTAGATCATTTAGATCGTTTTAACACCAACAGAAGAAGCGGATCGACTTTTTGCGGGGGTTCGGATATAGCCGTTGAAGCGCCGCGGCCGGGACGCATTTGCATATAAACGAGAACTTCGCCGGCATGGTAACGCTGAAACGCGCCATTTTTATTATTACACCAATTAGGTCGTCGCACGTTGCGCATACTACAAATTTCCACCGCTTATCCTGTTTTTTTTCCTACCTTTCCCCGAACGCGCGATGCGATGCACCGCCGCCGCCGCGTCGCGCTTGTGTTCTCGTCGGTAGCTCACGCGCCATTGTCTCTGTTTGTGAGATCACCTGCGTTTGGAGGATCACACCTTGATGATCTCGCATAGAATTTCGAACACGCCTACCCATCCTTTCTCAGCGCTGCCCATCGATTCAGGCTTTTCGCAGGCGGCCACGCGATTAAATTAGGCGGCCGACGCAACATTTTTTTTCTCTCTCCATCCATCGAGCGACGAGGCGTCTCTCATACAGCGGGATTGAAAGACGCCCTCTCTCCGTCTCTCTCGTCTCCCTTCCTCCCCCCCCTCTCTCTCTCTCTCTCTCTCTCTCTCTCTCGCTTTCTCTTGCTCGTTCGATACGCGGTTATCCGTTATCCGGTTATCTTATGGAATAGAAATCTTTTCGACGGCCTTCATTTCCCCTCGCTTTCATATAGTCATTTACGTCGCGAAGGCGACTCGCCTGACGTTCGATCGCAATTTTCGTGTTCCGCCCGTTAAGAGAGACGAATCACCTTTTCGTCAGAGGCGAGAGGAGTGATTAACCGGACCGAATAATACCGACTCGTTACTTAACGTTGTTACACGTACGTCGTGACGTGACGTCACACGCTGAAACACGTTGCTTACGATGGATCTCGAGAGGGGAAGTGGAGGACCTCCTCGATCGGGCAACGCTTCGTTGCTGGTGCACTCGTTTGTGCGCCCGCCCGCCCACGCTCTACGAGAGCCGAGACTCTCGAGATTTTTCCGATTGCTGTTTGAAACGTTTCCAGTTTTCAATATCAAATCGATCCTGGCCGACGTAATTGCCAATCTCCGTGGCAGTTAGCGAAAGACGGGACGCGTCCTGTTCCGGGGAGGCTCGTCGATACGGGAACGCCGATCGAAGATGCACCACACACAGCGCCGGGGTCCTTCCGGCTCGGTGACGTTTGACAGCTCGTTAGCTCGTTTCCCCGACGAGGGAAATCGCGGTCAGGACTGTTCATTGTTCTCGTCAGACCCCGGTGAGCGTGCGATTTTCCGCGCGCACGTTTCGCACGAGGACCGGTCCTTCTCTCGCTTTTCGTCTCCTTCGTCGTGCTCTTTCGTCGTTTCTGTTCCTCTTTCTCGCGCGTTCTCTTGCTACATCTGGTGGTATAAAAACCAGCCCCCCCCTCTCTCTCTCTCTCTCTCTTATGGCTGGGCTGTCTGGCGAATTGCCAGGATTAATTATGGTAGCCGGATAGCCTGTTCGCGAACCATCGTGCTCCGCTCCTGGGCTTTCAATTTGCATCCTCGCGTATCGACGCCCTCGAGGATTCTTCTTCGCGTTCTTACGAGATTCGTAGATTCGTGGGACCACGGGCGAACTTTTGCCGAAACTTATCGCACAGGAAGATGTAGCCGAAGGGAAAATATATCGTGCAGAGCCGAATTCCGCGATCATTAGTCTGGGTGGAAATGAACCGGGAATTAGGCCGGGTAAGAGGCGAGAAAGTAATCGGGAAGGCAGTCGCTTGATGGCTATTTACAACCACTCGCAATAATTTAACTCCTTAAATAATGAATAACAGTAAAATCCGACTCGCATGACCAAGCGTAAAGAACAGGCGCGAATGCGAGCAGATGCAAAAGCAACGCTTATGTATCGCTCATTCTTAGTAGATTCGCTACGGCATTGTGTTCATCTTATTAACGAGCGTTTTCAAGCCTCACCTTCCATCCATCGTGTTGGTGCGAATAGAGACCGATACCGATGTATTCGTAAAAGAATCGCTTCATTCGTAAATATTAGCGTGATTCTGTTGGGTTACCGGATACTTTATCGAAAGTACTTCGGTAAGCTGGTATTAAACGATCGACCGGTCTTCGCGCACCTGTTCGATGGACGACGCTGTGAAAAGGAGAGATTCGAAATGCCACGCGCGACGCGCTGTTACGAGCGCTGCAGTTAAACCATGAGAGACCATGAGAGGCCTGCGATGCGTTTATGGCTCATCCATAATCGAATTCAATCTGTGTACGTGAACGAACGATTATGTACATATTTAACGTAATCGACTATGTTTTATGCAGGCACGCATTAATATCGCGAGCGATTTTGTTCCCCACGGATGCCGATAAATGCGCGTTAATAAACTTCCCAGTTTGTTATGTGCGCATTCAATTTTTCATCGCGACAATCACTTCTGTCCCGCTCACCCTCCCCTCCCCCTCTCTTCCCCCCGTGCGCGCGAAAAGAAAAAGCGATCGCGATTTCGCCGAGATGAAGGAATCACGAGAACGAGCGGCAAGAGCGCAGACGAAGAGAGCATCGGTATTCCGATAACCGTCCGAAAGAAACGGCAGGTGTCCTTTAGAGGCAGCTGCAATCACGACGACCATCTGCTGCGGTAATGCACGCCCGCCTTCAAAGTCCTGAGAGTGAGAGAAGCCTCTCTCTCTCTCTCTCTCTCTCTCTCTCTCTCTCTCTCTCTCTCTCTCTCTCTCTCTGTCTCTCTGTCTCTCTCGACCCGCCGAGAGAGCACCGCCAATTAGGCCCAGCTGAAACACGTGCCCGCGTTGCGCCGGATGAGCCGATTTCAACTGAAGGAGACGTGATTCTCCTTGGAAGGCTGCCTCTCCCGCGTTTTTCTTTTTTTCTCTCTCTACCTTCGCTTCCTCCTAATTTTTTTCTCTCTTCTTAGGATCTCTCTCTCTCTCTCTCTCTCTCTCTCTCTCTCTCTCTTTCTCTCTCTCTCTCTTTTTTACTACCCTCGCTCGGCTGCGCGCACGCCCGCCGCATCTTCGCATCATCTTTCAGCAACAACTTGTTGAGCAACAGTTGGCCGGCACGAGACAACGAGTACGCGCCGGAACCGATTAAAGTAAGAACAAAAGAGAGTGAAGACTTGGTTCGCGAATAATCACAGCGTGTACATGAAGAGCGCAAGTTACTGTTAGAAAGTTGGTAGTAACAGTACGCCGCGGCATTTCGTGCTGATTCAAATCTCTGGGGTAACAGATCTGTTTCGTAAGAAAGAATTCTATTTCACACAGTTATATATACACATATATAAATACGATATACAACACACACACACACACACACACATACATACGCGCGCGTGCGCGTGAAATATAATAGATATATAATAGCTTAGCCAAAGTTGTACATCACGTTCTAAAAACGCATATATTTTATAGTTCGAAAACACAATTTCAGCTCATCGAAACTTAAATAAATTATTGTTTTCTAAATAACTTGTCTTGTTCTAAAAAAACTGGCGTTTGCAGCAAATGCTGTTTCTCAAGTAATAATTCATCATATTTGGCGAAGTGACTGCAACACCGTAAGACACGTAAGAAGACGAGCGCGGCAATTTCGCGGCAAAAGATATCACAGAGAAATCTCGCAGCAAACTCCGCAAGCTTGTGTCGCGAGGTGTTGGTAACGTAGGATACCAGATCAAGAGGACAATTTTAAATATATTTTTATGCATACATTTTACTTATAGATGCTACTATTCCCAAAATTTCAATGTAATATTATTAAATCGAAACATCAGACACAAATATCAATTGTTATTTTATTAGAAAATGCAGTGTTATATCGAAAACTGCATTACCGTGTTCTCAAGATATTACGTAACATGAAGGACTCGAAACTCAATGTTCTCGGTATCTTGTAAATAGGAAAGAGGAAATAGAACATCGTTGCAACGACATTCTCACATCAACGTTTTATGTAAAAACAAAAACTAAAAATACGTATTTGATGAATGTATGTATTTCAATTTTCTACATATGTGAACAACTTATCCCAAACAATAATTATATATGAGGGATTAATTACAACATATTGTTGTAAAATTACAGCTATATTTTAATGCTATCAAAACTGTATAACTCACATCTCTCAACATACCACGTGAATTCAGTGCTAAATGAATATAATAAAATTTAAGGAAACTGTCACTTAATGTTTTACAGCACAAGTAGTTTTTATATGTTTTCGATCTGCTTTAACAATGATGTTTAATAATAAGAGGGCTATTCTTTTACTTTGCGTGGTATCAGATGTGACTATATATATTATGTATATCGAATGAATTTAAAACAAGGAAAAGGAATAAAACAATAAATATACGCATGCATATTAATATGAGAGATCGTTAATAACGACCAGATCGGCCATCTCTGCCCTTATCGTCTCTTCCCTTGCGACGATCCTTAGACCTGGACCTCCTGTCTCGGGATCTAGATCTTCTCCTACGATCGCGACCTCGCGATTTCGACCTAGATCTAGATCGACCCTTGCCCTTCTTCCGACTGTACAAATACCGACGAAGTTCCCGAGAGATGGGCTTCAGATGCATAAAGTTGCAAAATCCGGAGCGCGTACACTCGCTAAACACACACACACACGATGCCACATATATCCCACAGCTCGCATACAAGCTCTTTCGCGTACCTCCATACATATGTATATTATATTCTTATAAGTTGCGTAAATTCACAATTACCCCATTTCATATTGACGACAACATGCCTCACGAAAATCCGTGACAGGGGAGAGCTCGGCGTAGACCGGCCTGCCACCGAACCAACGATTGTTCAAGTCGTTAACCGCTCTTTCCGCATCCTCCTCCCTGCGAAACTTAATGTAAACGTTTCCAACCAGATGATCGCCGAGATTGTCACATACATTCATCTCCTCGATTTCACCGTACTTATCCTCGCATTCAATGAAAACGTCCTCGAAAAAGTTATCGTAATGCTCTTGCATTTCTTCGTCCGTTACATTCGCGACCACTATTATCAAATAATGGAAATACGTTCCAAACCGTGACGCTACTTATACATATACATATACATATACTACAGCACGTAACATTTTTATGCCAAAACTTTATACAGTATACTTACAGTGAGATCCGTCTGCGCTCTTGGCAGAATTCTGAGGGTTTACATAAAGATTCTGCAGTAGACATGTCTAAAGAACACAGGGGTTTTTAACTTAAATGATATGTATCACGTAATAATAAGGTTAACATTGTTCGTACCAATTTGAACAATAATTCGAACGATTTGCGCTCGAGTACAGTGTGCGTATGTCAAATTAAAAATGCAGATGTAAATCATAATGCAGAAAGTCACAGTAGAGTTTAATATATTGCATTAGTATACCTTTATCGCCCAACAAGGAGCAAACAGGACAAGAACAACATACAACATAATCATCTCAAAACAATCCATGATATCCATCCATTCGACAGAACCTCTCTTTGCATCTTTGCATAATAAATATGCATAGCATATCTTTTGAGAATACTTCTTGCGAAACAAACGTCGCAGTGCGTAAATTGCAGTTGCGACATCGAAAAGTACCAGTGATAAAATATGTACCAGTTATTATCACATACCTGGCTGAAGGTCGGTTTGTTGTGGATACGTGAACATCGATCTCCGTGTCGACAAGCTCCTATTTTGAAGTAAAACGAGCAATTTACTCTGAAACAGAGACAACGGGAAGAACATCAGTCGTGATTTGCATTACGACAATAATCTAACCTCTATCGTGTAAGAGCCATTCGCAAAAAGTATATAGCGACGCTTACTTGTCCTTTTCAGTTCCAAAAATTGATGCCAGATACTCAGCCATTGTGCGAAAATCGTTCGGATGAATCTCACAAGCGATAAAACAGATTTCTCATCAGTTTTACATAGAATTCAACGACGCATCTCCCGCGTCGTTGAACTGGTCCGAATCGTACATTCCAGAAAACTGCTAGGGAACTGCCATACCGACTTAGCATTCGACAATTCGATATCTCGATAACTCAGAGATCGATAAGATGAGCTATCAGTCTAAAGACCGTATCACACTAGCGATTGCGATTGCGATTCCGATTCTTCCTCGACCAATCAGAAAGCCATCAGAAAGTCAGCCGAACGACAGTCGTGAGTCGCTGCTTTCTGATTGGTCGAGGAAGAATCGCAATCGCAATCGCAGCCGCAGCCGCAGTCGCGAGTTGCTAGTGTGATACGGTCTTAAAGTTATTTTGTTCTACATAAAGGTTCGCACTTATCAACCTGTGACTATACCTGTGACTGACGATATCGACGCAAGGATTTCAAACGAGAGAAATACAGCAGAATTTTATCATTCTTCAATCTTCATTCGTAAGTAAACATAAACTTTTATGCATAAAGTACACGCGCATGATTCTGATTTTAACGATGAGCCTCAACGCCGTGTATAACGGAACGGATTTTCTACGTTAATTAAAACATACCGTAGCGCCGCTAAAAGGGCCGTTAAGCCGCCAAATGAGAACATGATATGTAAGACTTTTCTGTTAAATGTGATGCGTTTTGTCTGCACACAAATGTCGTACTTAAATTCAAATACCGTATAACGATGCAATTCAACTCTGTAAAACGATATAATTTATATGTATCGAGAATATATTATAGATTATTCCTTTACTGTGCATTCCACAATAACAATCTCGTTACTGTTACAACAGACAAGATGAAAAAAAAAACAACTCTATTCTTTTAAACTTTTTACTCACAATTCTATCAAATAAATGAAAAAGTTTCAATCGTGCTTCAATCAGTCATGATGCTTTATTTTTTCCAATCGGTAACAAAAGAGCTACATAAATGCACGCAGATAACCTTGTCAAAGATATCGCTTTTTATTTCATGCTGTTATATCAATTCATTGGCGAGTTACAATTGTTTTAAAGACTCCGTAGGTCAACAGTAGATTTCGACGAAATATTGGCGCTAGTTCGAACGTAGCATCTTTGCTTTCATGTCAACGTGAAATTGTTGTTGAGCGATCTTGTCTTGTCGGTATCACACCCTTGCTTTCCAATTGTTTCTTCAATTGAAACTTCTGAACTTTTCCACTATAGGTCTTGGGGAACTCGTCTACAAACTCTACGTAACGCGGTATTTTAAAGTGCGCAATTTTGCCCTTGCAATATTCTCTCAGCTCGTCCTTTGTCATTTTCTCGCCGTCACATAGTCGAATACCTGCGCACACTTCTTCTCCGTAAATTTCGTCATGAGCTCCTATAACTTGCACCTCCAATATTTTGGGATGAGTTATCAGAAAATCTTCGATTTCCTGTGAAATATATACGTAACAATACTTCATATTGTGGAATGCTTCTTCTCTTCTTTGTAATCAGATCCAAATTTGATACAGAGTAAGATAGAGTATCCCAGACGGCAGAAACTTCTAAAAAATGCCTCTAACACGTTATATATTGAACATATTAAACTCTAATAGCTTTTAAAAGTTTATGCTGTCTGGAAGTTGGTTCACCGTGACTGAATTATTTATAACTAATAGAGTAGAATAGTAAATGAGGTAACACTAAAGATGTATCTATAGTCTAACCTTGGGAAAGATATTTTCTCCTCCTCGAATAATCATATCCTTCAGTCTACCGACTATTTTACCATATCCGCTTTCCTCCAGGATAAATTGATCACCAGTTTTTAGCCAACCCTCTTGCGTCAAAGTATTCCTTGTATTCTCCTCTTCGTCCCAGTAATACATCATGTTGCAATATCCGCGTACCCAAAGTTCGCCAGGTGTGCCAAAGGGAACAGGCACATTGTTTTCATTCACTACCTACGTGCAAAATGACATGCTTAATCTGACATATCTTAGAATTCGCCGTTAAAATGAGAAGATAAAATTAGAAAATGCAAAAACGGAAAATAACGAAAATTCAATATATACCATTGCTTCGACATGATTCGACAAATGACCAACGGTTGTCTCCGTCAGATCCTTGTCCTCTCCATATATCGATTGAAATATTATGCCTGTTGTTTCCGTAAGACCATATATAGACTGTAACCGTAGATTTGTTTCAATATAAACAATATACCTCGCTCGTAGTGATATGGTAATTACTCTTTATACTCTCCCTCTCTCTCTCCCTCTCTCTCTCCCTCTCTCTCTCCCTCTCTCTCTCCCTCTCTCTCTCCCTCTCTCTCTCCCTCTCTCTCTCCCTCTCTCTCTCCCTCCCTCTCTCTCTCTCTCTCTCTCTCTCTCTCTCTCTATTCGTTCAAATTTACCAATATATTTTCCAAGCCAAGTATCATTCGCGTCCTTTTGATAAGTTCAGGTGACGCAGGAGCACCACCGGTGCATCCTGCCGAAAGACTGTTAATCGGTAACTGCAATCGTTGCTGCACATCGATCATGTTCGCCTGTTGGCAATTGAAGCCAAGATGTAACAAGGTATGCCATTAAATTACTTTGATAACAAGCGACAAATCAGAGTAGAGTGTCCACATTTTTATTTCCCCACTTACCCACATGGTTGGTGTTCCGTATGTCCAAGTGCAACCCTCTTTTGCAATCGCCTTCAAGGAACTTACCGGATTGAAGGAGCGCGCTTCCAGAACAATAGTCTCCCCCGTATGAAGGATGGCCATTTGAACCATTAGTACATTAAACATGTGGAAAAACGGTACGTTGCAACATATTTTGCCATCGAGGTTCCCCACCGTCCTGCTTGCAGCCTATCGTCACATTGAAAAAAAGAAATGACTAGTATATAAAATGATTTTTTTTTTTTCAAAATACAGGGCAATCCCCCCTCGATTGTACGCCCATGCTTCGAGGTACGGGAGTAAAGAAAAAGTACGAATAAAACGTGAAAGGACAGCTGTCGTCCAACTCTGTTTCGTTAAGACAACACGACAATTTTTGGAACTATTATCAAATGTTTGGCAATATGATTTGCATCCCTCACCTCTTTGCTATTATTTAAGATAGCATGATGCGAGAGGAGAGTCGCTTTCGCTTTGCCGGTGGAGCCGGATGTAAACTGTATGTTGCATCCGTCGTAACAAGATATCTCACTTTGTTCGGCAGCGATAGCTTCCACTTCCGTTTTCGTCGGCATTGCCTCGACGTCGACGAGACGACGGGTACCACTGTAAATTAGACATCCCATTAGATATTATATTTAGATCATCGTTTTCTCGACGATGACAACGATATTAACGAGCGCAAATGGACAGACCTTGATGGAAAGCCATTAACCTAATTGCGCCATGATTCACCCACAGAGCACAAGCTCTACTTGATCAGTGGATCAGTCAAAATTAGTGAGCAATAATGCTACGTATAAGGGTGGAAGAGGAGGAAACACGATGAAACGAAAAGTCCTTTTCTCCTCGTCTACTCGAATGGAAATGATCTACTCGAATGATGTAATCGAATAAGAGTCCACGACAAAAGTGCGCAAAAAGAAATTTTGATACAGTTGCTTCGCGAAATTGCCGCTCCGACATTGAAACTCGCTTTCGCTTTAAACTCCATTATCCTATCCGCGAGCGATCGTTTAATCTTTACCTTCTTCTTGACCTCAGATCGATACACTATTTCTTATGTCGTGAAATAGAATACTCTTTTATACCTTGGACGCTTACCAGCGAGTATATCCAAGTGTACAAATCGTTTTGCGACATCTCACTAACTATTTATTAATAATTTTGTCTTTGATGTAACACAATGTGTCTATACTACAATACTACTTTCTAATTTGCAATAAATAAATAATAAAATATGGACGTTCTTAAATTTTGTGTTTCATTTTATATTTTGTGTGTTTCTTTTTCCCTCTCCCCCTCTCTCTCTCTCTCTCTCTCTCTCTCTTTTACAGGAAAGAAGTCGGTTCGTGCAACTAATTTTTTGTTTTCTGAAAATTCAGACGAAAATTCAACTAAATAATAACGGAAAAATTTGTGTAAGAAATTCTTATTCAGCCGTACTTAATTACTTATATTGAGCTTTGACGCAATTATATTTAAAGAAATGCGATAACATGCGAAATGAGATATTATTTCTGTTCATCGAAACCTCTCGATAACCTCTCTTCTATTTTGTCGCATGAGTCAAGAACTTCTCTCCATACAGAAGTAGCAAAGGAAATTTGAATGAATATTAAAAAATTTTCATTCGAAAAGAGAGACTAACGTGCAGTTACAAGTGATACAAATAATCGCGAAGAATTAACTCGTAGCAATTTCTATTGCCTCATAAGCTCCACGAGATACTGACAACTGGAAAAAGTAAGCGTGAGCTCACGAAATATTTAGTACAATAGCCACAGCGTGTTCTTAACCCATTTTGCAAAGTCGAGCAAAAGGTTCCCGTCAGTCAAAGTGCTAGGGCTCACGCGATACTCACGAATAGACGCAGCGAGTGTGCTCTAACATGTGTAACATGTGTTAGAAGCTCACGAAATCACAAACACCCGTTCAAGTTTACAGTTTATCTGAAGAAGTGGTTGTAATTGCTCGGCACAACAATGATTGTGTTACACGAAAATACACGAAAAAAATGTTTACTAAGAATGAAACAATATATTACTTTGATGAAACAATTTTCTAATGAAATATGAATAAAAGCTTTGCGTGTAACCTCGATGACTCAACAACACAACATTGCGACACATTGCGAAATTGATTTAAATGAACAGAACATTATTTTTGGAGAAACGAGTTACACTTTCTCGGAACAGTCTGTCGTTTAAGAATGCCATATAAACACTTAGGAGGAATTCCGATTAAAAATACCAGTATTCTATTTGGGTTAGCCAAAAATCTTAATAATTTGGACTGAATTCTAATAAGCAGCCAGAATTCCTCAATCGTTTATCCAAAATTATCGCTTTACCAAAAAATTGTTTCGTTCAATCCAATATTTCTCTCTTTCTCTCTCTCTCTCTCTCTCTCTCTCTCTCTCTCTCTCTCTCTCTCTCTGTCTCTCTCTGTCTCTCTCTCTCTCTATCTTGGTGTACAAACATATATTTAGTTAAAAAGAACGAGAAAAATAATTCAATCGGATATAAAACACTGCTTAGTAATTTGTAACTGTCGAAATAGCAGCTATCGTGATGCATCTCGAGATAGTATTTTTTCCTTAAGAAATATAGTATGTTACTTCGTATGATTTTTTCGACAATTGCTTCTCGAGAAAGAAATCCTTACACAAAAGCATCTATTTAAATACTATGACGCTAATTGTGAAATATCTTACGTTATATGATCCTGGGAATAAATAATAATATGTTCCAAAAACGGGCACGCTTCTTTGACAGAGAGTAACATTTTTGGGTAATTCTGCGTTTTAAACGAGTCAGGTGAGATGACAGCCTTCACTTTGACCTTCCGTAGACAATATATCAATTCGTTCTGTTGATAGGCAGGATTGATTGCGACATTGACCAGGCCCAGTCTCGCTGCACTCAAAGCAGCAACGTACCATTCGAGATCGTTCGGACCCCAAATACCCAATCGATCGCCTTTCTTCAAACCTAACTTCTTCAAGCCCGCGGCTAATATGTCGACGCGTCGAAGAAGTTCAGAGAATGTTAACTGAATATTCTGATGATGCGATATAACACAAACTCGTTCCGGCCACTTGGTTGCAGCTTCGCCTAACAATTGTCCGATGGTACCATTCAAAAGTGGAGATTCGCCAAAATTGATCATGTGAGAGATTTTGATCGCTCGAGAAGTGTTTGTTCTCGTTTGAGTGTTTAAGTATTGAGGCTGAGGCTCTGCAATGATTCGTTGTTGTGTAAACCCAACATTTAAACATATCTCTCTGCTGACATATTTATTTACTCACCTCTCAAATCAACATACGAAGTGAACAAGCTTTGCGTGTAATCTCGATGACTCAACAATACAACATTGCGGAATGCGACACATCGCGAAATTGATTTAAATGAACAGAACATTATTTTTGGAGAAACGAGTTACACTTTCTCGGAACAGTCTGCCATTTAACAATGCCATATAAGCACTAAGCGTTTATACCACTGATATCTTAATACATACCCTATTATCTTATGTATTCCGCATTATCTTAAGCAGTATTATCTATTCAACGTTCAACGTCTTCTTTATCTCATAATTGCAGGCTTACAAATGTAGACTTTATACTTCGTCATGCATGAGTTCATTTACAAGCGAAGATAATACATTTACGATATAAGCTGAAACTTATATTGCATTGCGAAACTATGGAATTTAGATTTTCGTTAATACGTATACATTTTAGTATATTCCATACACAGAAATATATCGCGACTAGAGAAACGAATGCGAGCAAAGCATGAAAACGATACACAACGTATGGCTGTTTTCACTGTGACGGAGTATACATATATATTGTACGTATACGTATAGCAATACTGCTGTGTTTATCAATGTTATTATCTTTGGCTGCGTTCTGATATCACTACCAGCAAATGAGAATCTATAGTATACGTCACACAAACCATATATTTTTATGTTTCGATGTTTACTCAACACAGTAAACATAATCGACATGTCATAACTGAACGTGTTTGCATTCGTAGATAAGTATGCGCTTAGTAAATGCGAGTACAAGTAGTTTTGAATGTCTCATATCTGATGCTTCTTATAAATTTCCTTACTGTAAAAACTTTAAACAACACTCTGTCCAATGTTAAAATTGCATTGATTAGAAATATAATCAACGACGGCAAAAATATTTATTTATTGAGATTTATAATTTTACAAAATTCTAAAATTAAAGATTTTACAAATATTTATCTGTAATTAATAGTGAAGTATATCCTTATTATCTACCAACTCGTTTTATTAATTCGTTTGTAATTATTATTACCTAATGTTATAAAAATTCTCAGGAATATTACATATTCCTGAGAATAGTTTGCTTCTTTGATGCATAGATTATTGGGAGAGGATGAAATTCAAGCTTATTTTAAAATACTCCAACATATGTTCGTCGTTATTCGCTACGTCTCGTCAATTACTCGCAAACATTACGCTCAATCTTAAACTTAAGTATTAAAAACAAACGTTATCATCGATTATATTGACCGTGAGTTTCATTTGACCGTGTGATTCATTTTTAGAGAGTACACATCGAAAGTATGTACATATATATATATATATATATCAACGTCAAGGTGACGTGTCTCGAGCGAAAAGTAGAGAGTAGGCACACGAGCAGAGGCCCTTGGTCCCTTGACTAAGGAGGGCGAAGAGAGAGGGTGAAGAAGAATGGGGAGGAAGCCGTTATTCGGAGCCGCGGCAGAGAGTCCGGTGTATTCGAGATAGCCGGGGATAGCGTGCCTACCGGACTGGTCCGGAAGTCGCGTGTCGACGGCAACCCCTCTCCGCGGCTCTTGCCCTACCTTCGTCTTCGTTACTACCACCTACACACACCTGCAATTTCCTTGCCTTACCTCACCTACCCTGCCAACGACTACGACGACCAGCACGGCCTACCGCGAAATTGCTTTGTGTGAGTCGAAGGTAATCCGTGCAAGTCAAACGGTAAGAGGGTGTTGGTGCAACGTTACCCTAACGAACCATGAGAACGAGTCGACGATTGGTCGATCCTGCCGCGAGCGAGCGAACCCTCTCTTCATTCTCTCTCGGTTACGTACCGTCCTCAGAATCGTCAGGATAACCGTGCCGTTAACAACACTCTTGCTACACCGTTATAATAAGTTATCGCTTGATTTCTAATCAAGACCGAGCATAGATTGAGATTGAGAATAACGAGACGATCGATCGAATCTCTCACTGAAGCGTGTTTGCATCTCTCGGTTGAACCGAAATGAGGCTCGAGTGATACGTGATACTTGTCATTCGCTAGCTTACGCATTCGACACTTGCCTGGTGTCGTGCTCTACGACGAAGCGGAGCTGCCTTTCAATCGTTTTTCAATCGGCAAAATTCTCCTTGAAGTCGCGTCACGTGACAAGCGTTCCATTGTCTTACATCCGGCGGTGCGCGTACGCACCAGAGAGCAAGAGGTGTACCGGCCACCTGGTGACTCGGTGGCGATCTTTCGGTGGCGCAATCGTCGCAAGCTTGAACGTGCAATCTTGAACGAGAGTGAGTTGCTCGAGCGAACCATGCTCGCGCTATACGCAGTGGAATCGTACGGCGTAACATGAGTAGCAACAGCAAGAAACCGCCAGGAGGCAAGGACGACAAGAAGAGCCCCTCGAGCAAAGAGGAGAGTCCGTCGGGCGGAAAGGACGATGGCGGTTCGGCCTCAACGGGAAGCAATGGCGGCGCGATCGGAGGGGAACCATCGCAGCCGGGAAGTAAGCCCGGCTCCGCCGGTGCGACCGCCAGAGAAGGGGCCCAGAGACTTCTGGGCCTGGCTGCGCGCGGAGAATGGGCACCCGTGGACCAGCTGCTCAAGTCTCTGGAGAAGACGGTGCAGAGCGCGGGGGAGGATGGCTTCATCGCGCCGCTGGCCGGCGTTCTGGATCCGGTTAGTTCGTTAGGTTCGATACGGTGAACGACCAGAGATACCGGATACCACCAGAGGCAGAGATACCGACGATAAATCGTGAATCGTGCTGAAGTTGATTCGGTCTGAGTAATTCGGCAGGATATTTAACGCCCTCCCCTGCGTTAAACTTTAAAAATAGATCCCTCGTGCGCGCGTGTGGCGTTTAAAGCGGAACGAGGGGAGGGGCTCACGAGGCATCTCTTTGAGATAGACAAGGGGGGAGGGGGGGGGGGAGGGGATAATCAATTAAGTAGAAGAATCGCGTGACGCGAGCCTCTCGCCCGTGCATCGCGCACTTTTTCTTACGTATCCTCAGATGGAGACCTCTTTTTTTTTTTTCTTTGCAGATGACGGGGATGACGCCGCTGATGTACGCGGTGAAGGACAACCGCAGCGCGCTGCTCGATCGCATGATCGAGCTTGGGGCCGACGTTACCGCCAGGAACAACGCAAGTACTCCATGATGATAGACGCGCGGTAGAATTTGCGAAGCAGGCTGCTCGACTGATCGATCGTACGGGCAGAGCAAAGCTGCTGTGCCCTCTGGAATAGAATTCAATCGGAGAAGACGCGGATTATCCTGTCGCGACGAGCAGGGATCAATCTATGGCAGGGAGACACGAATTATTTCTCATACGTATTATTCGAAAGTCTGAAGAGAAGCTTTCATTTTTGGTAGCCGACTAGTCTCTCTCTTTATCTTTATCGAGAGAAATAACAACAACAACAACAATATATATCTTTCGTTTCTCGATTATTATTCGAATTTCCGATATAACTTAAACTATTTATATAAAAATATTTTTCTACGACGCCCACTTATAACGTGTCCGTGTTGCCGCGTAAATTACCTAAATTCAATATCAGTTATACTGTTGAGTCTTTCTCTCTCACATCCCGCGTTGCGCGCGGGACAAGGGACGAGTGCGCCGACAAAGCTGTCGATCGAATTTCACGCTGTCCTATCTACGTTGCCGAGCTTCATTGCTTGCTTCATTGCTGACGCGAGAGAAGTTTTCGTGCTGAGATTACGTGGCAGCGGCACGTAATACAGCTCACTGAGCGAAGGTGACGCGTGCCGCGAAACGTGCACGGCTAATGATCGAGCCGCGTTAATCTGTGCTAAGTCGGGGCAGGTAGAAGGTAGGAAAGATTGCGTGAAGGAGGGCCAAGGCCAAGGGGCTTATATGCTTACCGACCGACTGGACAAAGTGGTCGGTCGTGTGTCGAGGGAGCAAAGTAGGCCGGTTGACTTTCGATCAGACGCAATGAAAAAGCAACGCGATTTTTAGGGTAGATTTTCACGAACTCGTTAAGGTTATCCAACAACGACCTTTCGCGCTTGATGGTCACGCAGGGTAAGCAGGTTGCACTTACACATTCGGGCTTTTCCCCCGAGAGAATTAAGTGCAGGGTCTTACAGAGCCTATATCGAGTACACCGATTCCAAATGGCCTATGAGTCAGGACGACGAGATTCAGCCGTGAAGCCAAGTCGGGGAAATTTATGAGTCCTCGTGGACTCGCGTGGAGCGACACAGGAGCCTTCGGCTTCGTATTTGTGTGCTCGAAGACGTCGTCAAACCTATTTACCGTTTTACCCGTTGTATGCTATCCTCACCACTCCCACAATGACTTGGATATAATTATGAAATAGCAAATGCTGATGCGCGCCGTGATTGAAAGGCCGAAACGTCGGCCGAGAGAGTCAGTTCATGTTTATGGGTGCGGCGGGAGCAAAATGGATGGCCTTATCATCTTATTACTTGTTCCCCCTTCGTGACTCCTCACGTGCGCACCAAACATCAAACGCGTATTCCGCAATTCCGTGAAATTACGCGATAACGCGGACGAACGCGGAAGATAGAAGGGAGTGCATCGCGCTTCTTCCTTCATTCTTCAAGCGTACGAAAAACTATGACACATATAACTCCCTTCACGAGAGTTTACCGAGTTTAATTAATCAATAGACCAGATTCCAGATAGACAGCACTCCACAAGTTTCAGAAAGACACAAGAAGCTTAAAAACATGTCTCTTTCTACAGGACAATTACAATGCACTCCACGTCGCCGCCATGTACTCGAGGGAGGACGTTGTCAAGTTGCTATTGTCCAAGAGAGGTGTCGATCCATACGCCACGGGCGGGGTATGAATACAATTATTGTTAAATTATTTAACTTTAACTCGAAGCACTCTGTGGACGCGCTGTGTAGATTGCGCGACAAGCGATATAAATCCGCGATCTTTCTCATATCACACTTATCAATTGCCACTACACGCGTCACTTGCTGTGACGTGTATGTGTGTGCAGCCAAGACAGCAGACGGCAGTGCATTTGGTAGCATCGAGACAAACGGGTACCGCCACATCAATTCTACGTGCTCTATTGGCCGCCGCTGGACGAGATATCAGGCTGAAGGTCGATGGCGTGAGTAACGGAATGACATACATATTTCAATTTCGCAACCTCACGCAAGAAATAAATAAACGCTCGAGACGCGCGAGACGCGCGTCTCGCGTCGACTCGAAGCGGAGTCGGGTCAATCTTCTCTCGATATTTCAATGCGGAATCAATCGTCGCATGGCGCGGTAATAAGCGGTTCGTGTTGGCCCCGAAACTCCGAATTGGACGTAGATAAAGATTTTTCCGCAATAGCCGCGGCACGATGTTCCCGTTTCGCGTTCGCGTTTCTCGCGTGACAAGTGCCGCGCGCCGAGAGATCGCTACCTGGTACCGCGGCCACCGGGACGGCGCTATAACTCTTCTCCAGTTTGCTTTTTCTCTCCTCCTCCTCCTCCTCCTCCTCCTCCTTTTGTCTGCCATATCTGCCTGTATCACGATGGCACGACGTCATTGATTTGGCAAAGTTGACAGCCGACAGTCACGACGGCGATACACACACACACACACACACACACACACACGTCGCGTCTGCCTATAAATAAAAACAACAACGGTAAAGCTGTACATATCACGGGACGACGAGCGACCCGAGTTTCCGATCAACGTGAAAGACTACCCCCCATTTTAAGTTTATCCGGTGATTTCTCTCTGTAGAAAGGGAAGATACCTCTTTTGCTAGCGGTGGAGGCTGGCAATCAATCGATGTGCCGGGAACTTTTGGCGCAGCAAGCGCCTGATCAGCTTCGGGCCACCACACCGGCGGGTGATTCCGCTCTGCATTTGGCCGCGAGAAGACGAGACATCGACATGGTGCGGATCCTAGTGGATTACGGCACGTCCGTCGACATGCAAAATGTACGTTGGTGAAATGCTCAAGCGGCAATAATTGAACGATAACAATGCGACTTCGTCGGCATCGCCGACGTCATCTCCGTGTGTGTTTCTACATTTCTCCGCGACTCTGTTACGATTCTACTTGCTACTCTACAATTACGTAAGCTTCAACGTCGCGAGCGAACACAGCGAAGCTCGGAAAAATCACGGAGCCGTGCGTGGTTGACTTGTAAATTACTACAAGCATCGCTACGTCGAACGTCGTTTATGTTCCTGAATGAATAATAATTGAGAGAGCAGCACCCTCCTCGAGGGTAAAAGACTCGCGACAGAGTCCTAAATGTTGCCCTTCGCGTACCCGCATTCACCCGCATCAAATTATTATATTGGTTGAAAAGTTGTCTCTCTCTCTCTCTCTCTCTCTCTCTCTCTCTCTCTCTCTCTCTCTCTCTCTCTCTCTATCTCTATCTCTATCTCTCTCTCTTCTTTTTTTCTTTTTTCTTTCGTTTTAGCACACCGAGAGACGGTTCGTGGAAAAATATCATAAATAAAACAAACTTATTTATAAACTGTTTTTTATGGTAATTTATGATTCCTATTGGCATACAGCGACTTCCACGACCGGCACGAGATTCAATTGCTTCGCAAAAATTTCACCGAATAGAACATGCATGAGTAGGCCATGCATGTGTAATGCATGATAATGATTGTCGCATTGCGTCCACCCAAGTCCAACAACGTATGCAAGAGCGAAGTTTTCAGTTGACGACGACATGTGTCAGGAGGAAGGTCAGGCATTAATTTCGCATGGAAGTGCTACTACATTTTTCCAAATCGGTATATCCGCGATAATCGTCGAACGATATCGCAAGAAGAAGATCTATGACGCAAACAACGTATCGCATTGTGATCTGGTGTAATAGTGAAAAGGAAAAAAAGTGTCGTCTCTTTTTTTTTTTTGTAGAGCTACCACATATGTAGCTACCGTATGTAGACCTTAGATGACATAAGGCCGCCGTTGAAGAACGTTGCACAACTTTGTAACGCAAGCGAGATGACAATGTTTCAGGGCGATGGGCAGACCGCGTTGCACATAGCGAGCGCCGAAGGTGATGAGACTCTGGTGAAGTACTTCTACGGTGTCCGCGCGTCCGCCTCGATCACCGATCATCAAGATCGGACACCTATGCACCTGGCCGCTGAGAATGGTCACGCGTCCATAATCGAGCTACTGGCCGATAAGTTCAAGGCGAGCATTTTTGAGAGAACGAAAGACGGCTCCACTCTGATGCACATAGCGTCGCTCAACGGCCACTCGGAATGCGCCACTATGCTCTTCAAGAAGGGCGTGTATCTGCACATGCCGAACAAACGCGGCGCCAGGTCTATTCATACGGCCGCCAGGTATGGCCACGTGGGTATCATTAGCACCTTGTTGCAACGAGGCGAGAAGGTGAGTTGCAACACACACACACACACACACCTCCTTCATTCACCCCTCGATTGCATGCGACGATTCGTGCGAAACCGCGCGAATCACGAGTCATATCGTTTCTTGTCGTCGCTCTTGTTGTCGCTCAGGTAGACGCGGTGACCAACGACAACTACACGGCACTCCACATAGCCGTGGAAAGCGCCAAACCGGCCGTCGTGGAGACACTCTTGGGGTACGGCGCGGAGGTACACGTGAGGGGTGGGAAACTTCGGGAAACTCCGCTCCATATAGCCGCCAGGGTGGCCGACGGTGACAGATGCGCCTTGATGTTACTGAAATCTGGAGCGAGTCCGAACTTGACGACCGACGACGGCCAGACGCCTGTTCATGTGGCGGCCAGTTATGGGAACCTGGCGACTCTCCTCCTGCTCCTTGACGACGGCGGAGATCCGATGGCCAAGTCGAAAGTACGCTGATGAGACGAGAAATTCAATCTGAGATTGTATTCTTCTGAGATATAGCTGTGCAATGTTCTGAGTCAATCGGACGATCGATCCGTCCGAAATTTGAAGAATTTCCCGAATACGAGTTCTCACTCGAGATCTTACTCAATCTTCCTCATCTCTCTCTCTCTCTCTCTCTCTCTCTCTCTCTCTCTCTCTCTCTCTCTCTCTCTGTGTGTGTGTCTCTCTCCTTAGAACGGGGAGACGCCGTTGCATCTGGCCTGCAGAGGTTGCAGAGCGGACGTGGTCCGACACTTGATCGAATTCGTGAAGGAGAAGAAGGGCGCGGAAGTGGCGACTCTGTACGTGAACAGCCTGACCAACGAAGGAGCCAGTGCTCTCCACTACGCCGCCCAAATCGAACCGACGGAAGTCAGCACCCCCGGCGACGACCGCGCGGTTATTCGCGCGCTCCTCGACAGCGGTGCGGACGTCTCGCTGCAGACTAGACAGGCCCAGGAATCGGCGTTTCATCATTGCGCCCTCGCGGGCAACAACGAAATCTTGCAAGAGATGATCAGTCGCATGTCGGCGACGGAAGTGCAGAAGGCCCTGAACAAGCAGAGTGCCGTGGGTTGGACGCCGTTGTTGATCGCGGCTCATCGAGGGCACATGGAACTGGTGAGCACTCTGTTGGCGAATCACGGCCGGGTGGACGTGTTTGATCTCGAGGGTAGATCGGCTCTTCACCTGGCCGCCGAGCACGGCTACCTTCAGGTGTGCGACGCGCTCTTGGCGAACAAAGCCTTCATAAACTCCAAGTCGCGCGTAGGCAGAACCGCCCTGCATCTCGCTGCCATGAACGGTTATACGCACCTGGTGAGATTCCTCGTGCAAGACCACGGCGCCGCGATAGACGTGCTCACTTTGAGAAAACAGACGCCTCTTCACTTGGCGGCGGGAGCCGGTCAGCTGGAGGTCTGCAAACTCCTGCTGGAACTCGGCGCCAGCATCGACGCCACTGACGACCAGGGGCAAAAGCCAATCCACGCCGCGGCAATGAACAATTACGCCGAGGTGGCACAGCTGTTCCTGCAGCGGCACGCCAGCCTAGTGATGGCCTGCACCAAGGACGGCAACACCTGCGCCCACATCGCCGCCATGCAGGGCAGCGTACGCGTGATTGAGGAGCTGATGAAGTTCGACCGACAGGGCGTGATATCCGCGAGAAACAAGCTGACGGAGGCCACCCCGCTGCAGTTGGCCGCTGAGGGCGGCCACGCTGAGGTGGTGAAGGCTCTGGTGCGGGCCGGGGCGTCCTGCGCTGACGAGAATCGCGCGGGCTTCACCGCGGTTCATCTGGCGGCTCAGCACGGCCACGGCCAGGTGCTGGAAGTGATGAGGTCGTCGCAGTCCCTCAGGATCTCCAGCAAGAAACTCGGTGTCACCGCGTTGCACGTGGCCGCTTACTTCGGACAGGCCGGTGAGTGAGCAGAAAAGTCGCGCGTTCATCCCGCGCGGGGGGGGGGGGTGGGGGGGAATCAATTTGGCAATTCGATGGCAGATTGATTCGGCAGAGTTTCGGTCGCGACAAATTCGACGCGACGAATCGTACGAATCGAACCGAGCGCTCGGTTGCTTCCAGACACGGTCAGAGAACTCTTGACTCACGTACCCGGGACAGTGAAGTCCGATCCACCGACCGGGGGAGCTCTGGTAGCGGAATTAGGAAGCGAATCCGGGATGACGCCTCTTCATCTGGCCGCCTACTCCGGAAACGAGAACGTCGTACGACTGCTGTTGAACTCTGCCGGTGTACAGGTAGGAGTTGTTGTTTGGCGCGCGTTGCTCTCACGTGAGAGCATCACGAGTCGGCGGCACGAGCCCGAGCATCAGGCACAGGCATAAATAAGGCACAGGAATGCTCTGACTGCAGGCGGACGCTGCGACCACCGAAAACGGATTCAATCCTTTGCATCTGGCCTGTTTCGGCGGCCACATCACCGTGGTGGGTTTACTGTTGAGCAGATCGGCAGAGTTGCTGCACAGCGCGGACCGTTACGGCAAGACCGGCCTGCACATCGCAGCGACCCATGGTCATTATCAGATGGTGGAGGTACTCTTGGGCCAAGGGGCTGAGATCAACGCGACCGACAAGAACGGCTGGACGCCGCTTCATTGCGCGGCGCGTGCCGGTCATTTGGACGTCGTGAAGCTGCTCGTAGAGAGCGGGGCATCCCCGAAGAGCGAAACGAATCTCGGCTGCGCGCCGATCTGGTTCGCCGCTTCCGAGGGTCACAACGACGTGCTCAAGTATCTCATGGAGAAGGAGCACGACACGTACGCTCTGATGGATGACAGAAGGGTAAGGCATGGCGGATCGATCAGAACTTTACCCTAGGCCTAGCTCGTACACACATAAAGCTGGCACATAAATCTTGTCAGGCAATTGACAACTGATCGAGCGTGTGTGTGTGTGTGTGTGTGTGCGAAAAAGCGACCTCGAATAAAATTATCCAGATGCCAGACCGGTTTCCGAAATCCGGGTTCCGCAACATCGCGAAGTTTCCGCGCGTTTTTAGCGGGCTCGCGGGAAGCGCACGGCACATCCGAAAAGTTTACTTATTTCGTCGACCGGACTCGACAAACCAAACTAATAAATTTGAGCTTTAATGTTAGGTACGCACGCGATAGGTGCGGTTGAACGGGCAGCGAAAATTTATCGTTGAATCACGTTCGGCTCAGACAATTTTAAAACGGCCGCAGCAGTGCCGCCTGTGTCGTACAAAGTTTCGCAGCAGTCGGCGCGGTCGACCGCGCGTCCGTCGACTGTGAAACTTGATTAAAGCAGTCGACGATCGATTCTAAGTAGACCCGGTGAATTACATTAATCGGTGCGGTGCGATATACGAGCTACTCAGAAGCCAAACTGATTGACCCGCACTTCTTCCGCACAAATTTTTCAATTTCGAAGACAGAATTGAACGGAACAAACCGTTGTGCTTTGTACAAAATTATCTAAAAAGAGAAAATTAGTCACTCGCGCAAGTAACGATACTTTCCGATCATATTTTTTATTATATATTTATCTTTCGTATACCTTTCTTATATCTTTGTGATGTATACACGAGAAACACAAGGAGGAAAACACGAGAGCGATAGAGGCGCGAAATAGAGGCGACAGAATACAATATAAATGCTGGATATATCAACGAGTTGTACCTTGATTTGACCGTCGTATTTGAGTTTTAGTTTAATTTTGATTTTAATGTTTCTCGTGTGTACATCTACTAAAAGTACTAAAAGTGAGAATCGTTAAAGATGATCGTTAGAGCGAAAAGTGACTCAATTCGGCTTCTAAGAGGTTGTCGAGTGGAATTGCCCGCTCAAGATCGTAGTTGGGAGCAATCGTTACCGATCGTTACTGTCGCACTTTCTTGCAGTTCGTCTACAATATGATGGTGTGCAGCAAAAGTCACAACAACAAACCGATAGAGGAGTTCGTCCTAGTGTCACCCGCGCCGGTCGACACTGCGGCCAAGCTCTCCAACATCTACATGAAACTCTCGGAGAAGGAGAAAGAACGCGCCAAGGATTTGATCGCGGCCGGGAAGCAATGCGAGGCCATGGCGACCGAATTACTGGCGTTAGCGGCGGGCGCCGATTCAGCCGGCAGGATCTTGACGTCGATGGACCGCAGGAACGTCGAGTTCCTGGACGTGTTGATCGAGAACGAGCAGAAGGAGGTGATCGCGCACACAGTGGTGCAGCGTTACCTCCAGGAGCTCTGGCAAGGCAGCCTGAACTGGAACGCGTTCAGGACGATCCTGCTGTTCATCGCCTTCCTCGTGTGCCCGCCCGTCTGGCTCGTGTTCGCCCTCCCGTTCGGCCACAAGTACAATAACGTGCCCATCATCAAGTTCATGTCGTATCTCACGTCGCACATCTACCTGATGGTCTTCCTGCTGTTGGTCGGCATCACGCCCATCTATCCGGTGGTGAGAGGCAGCTTGATACCGTACTGGTACGAGTGGTGCCTGCTGGTGATGCTGTCGGGGCTGTTGTTGTTCGAGCTGACGAATCCCAGCGACAAGAGCGGCTTGGGCTGGATCAAGCTGGCGGTGCTGCTCTTTGGCATATTCGGCGTGGCATTCCACCTGATGGGCTTCGTGTTCGTGCAGAGGCCGTATTGGCCGACTCTGCTCTATCTGAGGAACCAGCTTTTCGCTCTGAGCTTCCTTTTAGCAT